TTGAATATGGCGCTTATCACATGCTGTGTGGTATCGGCGTTTGGTATCAGGGCATTTTAACGAGTATGAATGAGTAAAGGAGACCAGTATCGGTGCATCCCTAAAAAGAACCCACAACAACATCTAAAGAACTGCAGGCCTCACTTGCCTCAGCTTGCTTACTCACATTCTTCAAAAATAACTTCTGTTCAACAGATGAAATAAACTGATTCAGGTTTAAAACAACTTGAGTAAATGATGGTATACAAATTAAACACTATGACAGAATTGAAAGACAGATGACAGAATTTTCATTTTTGGTGAACTATTCTTTTAATGTTAATAAAACAACAAAATGCAGAAAAAATGAAATTATCATCAGTAAGTTGCTTTAAAAAAAAAAGTAGAATTGATGTATAGTGTATATAGTGTTTTATTTTAATATTTGTTCATTCAATTTCTTGAATGTTACTGCTAAATATTGTACCTGAAAAATAAAGCACTGTTTGTTTTATTTGTATATTATGTGTATTTGTAATGTATATCTTTGTTCTTATTTTCTAATAACAAAGATAAAATAATGACAAAGATTTTTATCTTGGCTCACTTTGGCCTAAATGTCTGCCATTTTTTTATTTTATATTTTGTTAAGGTGTAAGAGGTGTTATGTTTCTGCACTCTTACATTTTTATCAAATTAAGAAAAAACTTTGTCTAAAAACAATTTTTGTGATGGTTTGTATTTTTTGTGCTCTGTATGGAACATCAGTGCCTGTTTAAATGATGAACTCCATTACTTGTGTTTGTTTTCAGACATGATAACAGACGTTTTATACTTGTGCTAACTGTTTGGCCTGTGCTACAAAACTTTCAATTTCTGGAGCACCAGTGCTATGTGCAAAAAAAAGTTAACGTACAGCCCTGTATATACAGTATATATATATATATATATATATATATATATATGTATATGTCCTCAGTTGCAGACAGAGCCTTAAATAAACTAAAACTGTCATGGAGAGAATAGGCAGTGCCTCTCTCTGTGGAAAAAGAGATGCTAGCGTCTCACCGTGTGTCTGCCAGACCTGTCAGTAAGGCTGTTTTCAGGTCACATTGCCATGGATTATGGATGTTACTGTGGCAACCTGACAGGACGGGAAGCTTTGTCTCAATGTCTCTCTGTCTTCCTCTCTCTCTCTTTTCCTGCATGTGAGAACTGAGCAGTGATTTCTGAAGGGTCCTTCTAGCTAGGAGCCGTGCTTTCAGGCCGCTTCACTCCATCAAACAGCTGATAAAACGGTCCGGAGAGAGAGAGAAAGACAGACTGCTTTGCCTGATGTGTATTCCAGGGCTTGTGAAATTGACCAGATAAACTCCAGTAAGTGTGAATATATCTCACCATGAATAAATGTTGTTCTTTAATATAAAAAGACTACATTAAACAAGCTACCGAATGCTTGAGCGATTTTTTGATTATAGTATGCGGGATTTGCAAGCGAATCTGTTTTATTTTCTTCTCCGTGTGCCATCTGAGTATAAATGTTCTGTTGCGAGAAGCCATTAATAAACAACATCTAATGATGCTTCTGTAAACAAAATTTGTCAACTATGCTGAATAGCTCACTATTTGCTAATACAAAGAAACAGCCACCAGGGGCAATTTAATAAGATTTGAATAGTCCTATTGGGCGCTGCTAATGATTTCCTATTTGTTTGGATAAGCTAACCGTTAGCATACCCATTCATCTCAATGGGAGCGTACAAACTGGAAGTATGTGACTTGGATGGATTCCAAAAATGCCTGTTCGAAAACATTTTAAAGCAATGTTAGCTAAGCTAGCAGGGTTATTATTGTTAACTAAAACCAAAACCATAAAAAACCTTGAACTTGTTTTTTTACGACATTTCTCATTTTTGTTTAGTTTAGTTTAGTTTAAGCTATAGTACTTAAATAACTCAAACTAAATACAAAAAAACTATACAAAATATTTAATAAAAGAACTAACAAAAATGACAACTACAACAAAATTACAAAAATTTTTAACTAAAATTCAGATGAAATATACAGATAAAATCTAATTCAAAATATTAATAAAACCTATAATAGCATTAATCAGTGATACTAAAATAACTCCTAGCAGGTTAATTAGCTACTATTATACTCATCTAGTAGGCTAACTTGCTAGCATACTTCTAAGTCAACTAAACATATGAAATAAAATATTATATGTGCCATATCTTTTTTTTTTTTTTACAAAATATATTAATTATTGTATTTACATATTAAATTATGTAAAAAAAATACTTTAACAGTGTAACATTAAAAATGTAACTACAAATAAATATATATTTTATATATTTAAATGTATTAATTGATTATTTTTTCTAATAATCATTTATTATTAATTGATACATTTTTCATTTTTCTAGGAATTCTAAAAATGGAAATATATTTAAAATGATATATATTTTGTATTTTCCTTGTATATTTTTGGACATTGTTTGTATATGTTAAATGCATTTAATTGCATTTCAATAGTGTGTGTATTTGCAGAAAGCATATTTAGGCCCCGTCTACATGGAGACGCGTTTAGCTGTATACGCATACATTTTGTATTGCATAGGCGTTTCGTCCACACGGATCCGGCGTTTTGGGAGAGTGAAACCGATATTTTTTGAAACCGGGTCCCAGAGTGGATAAATCTGAAAACGCCGCCCTTGCGTTTTCATGTGGACAGCGAATCCATATATTTTCTGAAACGATGACGTCATCAGCCCACGTCTCACCCCTAGTCAGACACCGCTACGTCACGTAACAGCAACAAAAACATGAACAAACACTGAACGGTTGTCTTTTTATTAACTAACATTAACACAGATTAATAAATGTATTGTTCCATGTTCGTTTGCAATACCGCGCACAAGGTTTATGCACATAGTCCAAGTCTTCTTCTCCTATCTCTGTGGCAGAATTACAGCGCCACATGCTGGTCTGGCATGTATACTACATCGTTTTGTGTCGGTTTTGTGGTTTCGTGTGGACGCAGATATTTCTTGAGACAAGGGGAAAAAAAGATCGGATAGCGAAAGCTCTGGCTTCGTGTGGATGTAGCCTTAGTTGCTACATTTGTCATAATTCTTTGTGGCAGGAAGAGAGGCAATACAACATATTTAAAATACTTAAAATCCTTTAAAAATTTGGTCAACTATTGTTTGTTTATGTTTTTGCAAAGAATTTCATTACATCTGAATGCCAAATGTTAATTTCAAATGGTCATGAATGTTTTGTCCTCAGTAAAGTGTAATAATGGCATCTACCAACAACCGACGCTAACCACCGAATATTCGACCCCCTACTGGTAACGTTTTGAACTTCTTTCATTGACTTCTGTCTTTTAACTTTATATATTTAACTTTTTTTAAAACACATTTAACTCCCCGTTTACTTTTGTTCAGCAGTGAACTGTAAGTACTTCACTATCTAACGACCAGCAGATGCAATCAGCATGTGGAAATCATCTAGGCCACACACACAATGCGCTGATCGGAAGAACTTTTGTCATCTAGTAATTGATGCCATCTTCAGTCTCTAATCTGTCACAGAGTCATTCCAGTCACTGATCTGAGACCAGCTTTACTGTCTCGTTAAAACGTTGGGTCTGAGAAACACATAAAAAGAAATGACCCTAGATTAGTTTGAAAGTACAAAAACATTTTACATTGATAGTTTCTATAGAAATTATTGTGTAGCAGTGGTAGCTAAAACAGCAGGCTAATCAGCTAGCATTATGCTAATCTAACAGGCTAGGGGGTACAGCAGCTGATCTGAAACCAGCTCCACGGTCTACTTATTTTCAATGTGGTTTGACATTTCATCAAAAGGTGAGAGTGGGAAATTATCTTGGAGCGTGTTGTGAAATAACTGTGAAATGTTTAGCTATTTTTAGCAAGTTTTATGTGCGTGTAGGGCTTAAACTCCCATTCAACTCTGAATCTAAAGTTGCATCTGAGTCGTCTCTGAGTCTAATTAAGATTGAGACAGTCCCACTGATGCTTTAGCAAAGAGACAAAGGCTCTGTATCGTGACATGTTCGCGTTGCCATGGCAGTCAATGGTCTTTTGAACATCCCTGGACAAATAGCGACTCAAGCGCTAATTAGCCAATAGATTGAATAAGAGGCTCAGGCTCCATATGTTTAGAGCAGCTTTATGGCCAGTTTTAGGTTGATAAAGCAGATTTTTTACATGCCAAAAAACTGGGTGGTTGTGTCGGCATCTTAGCTGAAGTAAATCACTCCTAAGCTAGGCTAGGCTAGTTGGTCTCAGAGATTGGTATTTGACTGGATTTAGGCAATGAAAGTGCCTCAAAATCAAGTACTTCAGAAACATTTGACTTTCTTGATATTGTGCATTGTGTTTTTGCTCCAAGGACATTTCCAACATACCAGCCAGATGATCTTTCTACAACAATAACATTGACAGTTATTCTTAAGTGTTTGTGTACGCCCTGAAGGAGAACGAACAATGCGGAAAGGCAATTCATTTCGCTTCACTATAACCTTGCTTCCGCTGAGAGTTCACGGCTCCCAGGAAGCTTTCAAAATGTCAGTGCGCATCACAAATGCAAAAGGACGACAGAAAGCCATCAATATTTTCATGCAGATTCCCAGCTTGAGGGCCACCGATCTAAAGTACAAAATCTGATAAACAGAGATTGATTTTTTTCTAAAATCACTTTTCATGGAAACTGATTGCATTCTGATTCATTTGTTGCTCTAAAGAAGCAACTAAATTAAAAAACACTATATATACACATACAAGTACATTGTCACAGTTCACTGTTTAGGAAGCACGCAGGAGGCACGAATAAACAAAAACAGTCTTTAATCCACGGAACACAGGGTACATCTACACTGGAAATGGCAGGAAACACACAAACATAACGAGTAGAACCAACAAACACAGAATGCAAAGGCAAGGACTTAAATACCAGGGATAATTAACAAACACAGGTGCCAGGAATCATAATTAAACTAACCGAGGACAGGAAAAAGACCATATAAGGAAAACCAGGAACAAAGACGGGCAAAACACAACAAAACAGGTCCATGATCCTGACATATATATACATATATTAGGGCTGTCAGTTTAAAACGTTAACTTAATTAATTAGTAATGAAAAAATAACGCAATTAAAATATTTTAACGCAGTTAACACACTGGCCCCGCCCCCAGACCTGTATGTCATCTTACATTTCATACAGTTGACTGATGACAATATGATGCAGGACAACAACTCCATAAATGCAGTTATGCCCTAAAATGCAAGATGTTGGGGCAAAAAAAATGCCCCTGTATGACTTTTTGTCTCATATTTATATCATATGATAAGCATATCACACCAGCAACGAGAGCAATATCACAGAAGTGCTGTTTTTGTCACGAAGAACACGAGTGCAAATGTGATTTTATACAACAGTTCAGTAAATAAGAAGTTAATATGGTGCTATATTTTAAACACAATATTGTGTGTTTTTGTTTAATTTTGCCAACGATAGTTTGTGATTAATTAGATTAACTAATCTGTTGTGCTTTAATTTTGCCAACGATAGTTTGTGATTAATTAGATTAATTAATCGCAGCACCCTGTAATTAATTAGAGTACAAATTTCAATCGACTGACATCCCTAATATATATATATATATATATATATATAATTTATTATTTTATACTAATGAGACTTTCATGCTATCCCAGGACAGCTGGAACCAATGAAATTGTAAGATGACTGACAGGATTGGGCCGTTTTCCAAATGTCATTTCTGACGTCACGGCCGCTGGAATGGAGGCTCATATCTATCAGAAGTGTGTGTGCCTCTCTGACAAAGGGAAATTAAATGGCACTGAGGGCAATCGAATAAATCAGCATGTTCATTCCCCAGGTCCCACAATGCATTTCAACCCTGCAGCATTTTTTATACTAAATAGGCACTTTTTACTCTAAGAAATCAGAGTCTGGTGTGAGACTTGAGCTCCTTTTCAAACCCTAATAAGCTACCTTGCTACTGCCTAACAACGTCGTAACTGAAATGGAAACCTGTAAGTGATAGAATTGGAACTCTTACATGCACTCAAACATGCACTACTCCAATTTACAATACCAGCTAACAGATATCTTTCTCAGAGGTGTGGCTAAAGGTTCTTGCTCAGTAATGTCAATACTGTAGAACGTTCATTAAAAACTAAGTCTTTAATAATGTTCTTAAAACATTAGCACAAATATGTTCTTGTTTTTTAAACATTTTAAGTCAGACGTTGATCTAACATTTTGTAATTGTTACTTGCTTCAAAACGTTCAGAGAACATTCAAAAGTAACGTTCCCATCATTTTTGCAAAATGAGAAAATAGAATGTTCACATAACCCAGAAACATTTAGAAAAACTGGACATTTTGAATGTCCAGTGAACATTCAGAAATAAAATTTTCATAACTTAATGGTAGGGCTGCACGATAAATCGCGATATTTAATGCGCATCTTGTCAGAAAGCCGGTTCTGTAATCAGCGGTAAATCTCCATCACCTGCGGGCTTTCACATTGAGCAGCATTAACTACACAGAGCCGTTGTTCACTGAGGAGCTGTGCAAAAAATCGCGCGAATATGAACGTGGTTTTGCGCAGCTCGTCAGTGAACAACGGCTCTGTGTACACTGTAAAAAGTAATGAATTGAACTTACTTGGAAAACCTGTGGAAACTGATTGCCTCAAATTTCTCAAGCAAATTAGTTTATAATTTTTGAGTTAATAAAACTTACTGTAACTTTGTATAGGTAACTTGTGTATATGTATAGGTTACCAGAAAACTTGCGTGTTGCTAACTCAATTTGACAAGTTCAGCCAATTTAGAGATTTAAGTTAAGTTTATGCACAGAACTCAAACAAAACAGTTCTCTTAACAAGTCTGCTTTGTTCACATTACTAGAAAAATGTGTGGAAACAGATTGCCTTAAATTTCTCAAGTAAGCTGTACTCAAAACTTGAAGTTGTTAATACAAAGACAGAAAACAGATTGTTAGCACAACAATAGGGCATTTATTTGTTTAAAACAATGTTACTTCAAGTCATTACTTTTTAGGCATGCTATCAAATCAACAATTTAACACTGTAAGAAAAATAAGGTCCTTCTGAAGGAAGAGTTGAAGGCCGTGGAGAACTGCTGTTCATCGCCCATTGATGTCAGATGTCTGTATAATTATTAAAAAAACTCATATTTAATATCACTCACAGCACAAGCATTCAGCATAAAATATAATTAATATCTACTTATTCTGTGCAGGGTTTCACAAAACTGCAAAGTATGATTTTTCATTAAGCGCACCTATGTGAATAAGCATATACTATGTGGACACATGGAATTGGAGAATTTTCATATTCCATAGCCTCCATATTTTAATAAGTTTTTCAGCAGTTGAGCTCTCTTTTCACTCAATAAACAAGTAGAACTTCCACTTCCACTGCACTGTTTAAGTCCCCCAAAAAAGAGCACATAGAATATGAAAAGAATACGGTTATAATTAGTGCTGGGCATTGACGCACATTTAAAAACTATTTAACATGAAGTTTCTACTCCAAAGAATTTTCTGAAATATAAACATTTAAACAGTGGTTGTGATAAAAACTTGTTTTCATGACATTTGTTCAAACATTAAATACTGAAAAACGGATTACATAAGACATGATAAATTTCATTAAGTTGTACTGTATCGCTCAACATACTTTATGATGCTTACTCACGTTTATTTCATGTTATAACTAGCAGTAAAGAGGAAGGTCCATGTTTGTAATCTAGCTTGTAAGCCACTGGCTAGCTAGTACGCTAACTGACGGTTACAGGAATGCTCGTCAGTAAAAATAAAATCTGCCTTTTCTTTTCCTCAAAAACTATAGCACGCACTGTGACAATATAGTTTATATGTAGATCACCAAAAACTTACCTAATTTTGCCGCCACATGACACGATCTGACTCTGAAGTTCAGTTCGTTGTCTCCTTCTGGTGATGTTTTGTTTAAACCAACCTTCCGCCACCTACTGGTGCACTTCCGCCACCTACTGGTCTAGAGTTATTAGGGCACATAGTGCCCGTTAAATATCGCATGTGATTTATCGTGCAGCCCTACTTAATGGGAACATTTGCGAAACGTTATTAGAGCATATTTTTCTTACTTGGGATAGTGCTTGATGTTAGCATGTTGCTAAGCTAATACAGTGATACCAAAACACTCTCATGGCAATACATAACTATTTTACGCTTTAGCAAATGGTGTTTTGTTTTGCTCTTTCCTCTGCATTTCTGTATTTGTCATTTCTCATTGGAGCTTACGCTATGCCTGCATCCTACATCATCCACTGGAAATTCCCTCTCTTGTGAACGTGTGTACGACAGTTCGAGGAAGCTAGAGATTACAGTTTATAAAGTTTAAAATATGGATATTTTTCATACACAAACGCATTGCTTCAGAAGGCCTTTACTAA